GTCCTAAGTAAGACATCCTCTGGCCGTCCTGAAATACTTTATTGGGGATTATTGGACAAGCTCTACAGAATTAAAGAGTGGTATTCCCAAAGGGTCTATTTGACAGAAATAAAATTGTTAGTTATCAATGAAAAATAAATATTTTGAACATATAAATGTTGGAATATTTTTTAAGTCATTCTGCATGACAAAAACTATTTTTAAATGATAATATATTATTTAGCCAACTTGACACTTAGACCCTTTGGAAATACCATGGTTTAATTGCTAAAAAAAAACAAAAATTACGTTCTTGGGACGTACCGAGTATATCCGCTTTAATTTTCCCAAATAAGTAAGAGACTGGACGTACCCAAAACTTCCGATATAGGTCTGGGACGTTCGGACCTATGTGGGACGTCCTGGGTACCTCTTGTGCTATCTGTGTAATACACTGTGCGCATACCTGTTTATTTTTTGCTTGGATGAATAATATCATTGTTTTTAGAGGTAAAAACAACGATGATTTATAGGATAGGTCAGGGACATCCAGTGGCTCCCTGAACAGAAGCTCTAATGCAAAAATGATAGAGGAAAAACTTTCTTGTTTTGGCGTGTACTATCATCCCCCCCAAAGAATGACAATTTATTAGGTGACACCCTGTATATATATATATATATATACAGGGTGTTCCAGAATATGTGGGCAATCTCCCGGATTCAAATAGACACAAAAATAATATGACAAGTTCCTATACATTTTGTTTCCAACGGCCCCCCCTACGGGCCCATAAAGGACGCCCCTGGAAATCGTTTTTTTTTTTTTAATATATTGGCTACTAGTAAAGTTTCCTTAAAATAGGCACTTTAAATCACATTCGGCTTATTTAGTTTGCCAGGGACGGACTAGCTCTAACAGGGTAATGCTATTTTTTTTAACACCCTGTAAGATAAAGGCACAACAATAATGATTTTGGTCAGCTTAAACCTTAACTTAAAAGGTACTCTTGATCGACATCGATAAAATGAACTGTTTACGAAAAAAAATGTTTTTGAACAATAGGGTTATATTAAATAATTTTGTATGCCGGTTCAACTTCCTCCTTCTACTCTTATGCATTTCCTAGCTCTAAGAATTGAAGATTGTTGGACCCTCCACAATGCCTGAACATTAATCCTTATTTCGCGACAATAAAAATTAATCATTTCCAATAGGTTTTCTCGATTGTCTATTGGATTGGCAAATACAAGAATTTTTAAATAGCCCCACAAAAAAATCTAATGTATTTAGGTCAGGTGATCGAGGAGGCCAAGCCACTGGTCCTCCTCTTCCTATCTATCGATTCCTGTTTAGGTGTTCTCGAACTACTAGACTAAAATGCCGGGGCCCCATCATGCATGAACCACATATCACGTAGTATTGCCAGAGGTAGATCGTCTAAAAGTTCTGGCAAATTATTTTGAAGAAATTCCAAATAAAGGTCTCCAGTTAACCTTCTTGGCAATACAAATGGTACAATTAAATGTTGCCCGAAGCATGGGGATTTTCTTCAGCCCATAAATGCAAATTATGGGAGTTTATAATGCCATTTTTAGAAAATCCAGCTGGTATTTGCATCGTTTCTGTGCCGATCTAAACCCCAGTTAGAAAATTCCATCCTTCGCGGAAAGTCTTCTGTAAGAAGCGCATGGACTTTTTGAACATGGTACGGATTCTAGAGACTGTCGATTTTGGGCAATAAAACTCGCAGCCATTTACGGACACTTGTAGAAGCATCTGCTTCACGATATTTAGGATGTTTTTCAATACCCTCACGGCGACGGATTTGATTTCCACAATTGTTGGTGGCTTTGCCAAACTTTCCTAAAATTATCTACGACACCTTATATTAAATTCGATTTTAGTGTCAGTGTCAGTTGAAAATAGAGTGTTTTGAAATTTTCGATCTTAGTTAATTAGTAATGGAATTTACGTTTGCTGAATATGCCGACATGCATTTAATGTATGGGCTTGCATCATGTAATGCTTTAGAAGCCAGAAAGGTTTATGAAGAACATTTTCCACATGCAAGAATTCCTGAAAAACCTTTGAAAGAGTGGATCGTCGTTTGAGAGAGACAGGTAAAAGTTTAATTTTATAATTTATTTGGTTTACCACTGCACCCTGTACATCATGACCTACTATATTTTTTTACATATTTAAAAAACATAACATCAAAGTTTTGTCAAAAAATAAAAAATCGATTTTTTTAAATACCATTTTTATTTTTTTTTGTACTTTTAAGATGAAAGTATTCCAAGTCGAATCCCCATATCGATGACTGCAACGAAGACTGTAGTAACTCACTTTTAGAAGAATATGAGTTATATAGATATTTTTAACTACTGAAGCCCTATTTTTACTGTGGTAAACTATCGTATCTTTTAAAAAGTAGTATTCTAGTATACTATTCCTTTTTAAAAGAAACGATACTTTAAAACGGTAAGAATGGAGCTTAAATAGTTAACAATATTTATGTAACTCATATTCTTTAAAAAGTGAGTTACTACAGTCTTCGTTGCACCAGTCGATATATGGCTACAGCCTAGAATGGGACGAAATAAGCTATGACCACCACAAAGGTCAAAGTGTGTTATGATACGTAGTTAACGTATTTGCTTATATTCGTTCGAGGAAATGTTGTATTAGTTTTTTAAATATTTTGTTTGTTTTAGTTAATAAACCTATTTCATTTTCAAATATACGTATAGTAAAGTTTCTAAATATTTTTTTTTGTTATAGGAGGTATTACGGATTACATTTTGGAGGAATTAAATTTGAAGATACTATGGAATTTAATCATTGCAAAATTATGTTATACCCACGTTCAATTAAATGCTGTCGTATAATCCTGCTCCTGAAACCTTTTAATATTTTGTATATTAAAAAAGTAAGGTACCTCTTTTAAAATAAATGAGTCAAAAATAACTAATTATAAGTCATATGTCCCTAATAATTATTAGGTTAATTATAATTAGTCAAATTCTACTGAATGAAATGGTCAAATTAGTAGATTAAAATTCTGTCTGTCGCTTTTCAAGCGGATGTCATAACCAATGAGCCATCAGTCACTTTTATAAAAACAGTTTTATCTGTCTATAAATAATGTGCATAATATTATTACTTACACAATAATTTGTTGTTGACCGCAAACGATTAAAGAAATTAGTTACTTTTAACTCTCAGAATTAGTCAAAGATGGTGACTTATCTTAAATTAGTCAAACTTTAACTATTTAAGTAGTTAAAAATAACTATTTAAAAGTGAAAACGACTATTTTATTAGTAAAAAAATGCAAGGGCCAAAATCGTGTAAATATTAAATTAAAAATACAATTTGTTATAAAAAATTGTTTATTATTATATCGAAATATAATGTATACTTAGCATATATTTTTTGCAGCTGCTAACCTAGCATAATGTTAAAAGATTGTGTAGGATTATGACATAAACCTTAATTTTCATACGTTGGTCTTTATTAAGAACAATTCAATTATTGTTTTATTATATTATATGCAATACTGTCTTCACCATAAGAGGACACGGGGCCCGTTAACAGGGCCCCCATCTCGGGGGATCCCGAAGTACCGACAATTTCTCTCACACATTTATTCTCAAAACATTTTTGTCGGGTTCATTACACTTTTTTCACAAATCAGTAATCTTATCAGAAGGTATTTACAAGGCATATACTACCCCATTATATCGATGACTGCGCCTATTCCTACTGTACTAATTAATAATATTTCCTAACGCATCCTACCTAATTTACTAAGTACACCACGGAATCCCTCCGATTCCAAAGTCAAGCTGCACCGTGTAAACAAGGCCTAACATAAATGTCGACATTGTCTATGGTTGGGAGAATCCCCGAATGATGTATTAAATTTTCAGTCTGATAGGAATGAGTGGCGTTATTTTGTTTCGTTTAATATTTTAAATTAAGTAAGATAAACAGAAGTTTTAATTTGTTCGTTTAAACATTATTTCATTATTTTGAAAAGAACATATTTAAGTGGTTTACAAAAAAAAGCTATAGCTCAAAAAGAAATTACGGAAAAGCTTCCAAAGCTCACTTAGTTTTTTACGGTTGAAGAAACAAATAAACCGAGGGATTATTCATCCTCATCACCGCAAGACAAAAGTACATCTGAATGTCACCAGGAAAAAGAGGTTACGTGTGACAAAAATGACAAACACACATTAGATGCTGAACCGTCGACTTCAAGCTACTGTGAATTAATAACTGCAAGCTTAGAGAATGTATCTGTGTCTCCTGACCCTGGTACTTACTGTGACGACATTTTATCGGAAGAAGTCCGTGATATTTGGATTCGAAAAGGGCCAGAGTTTATCCAAAATAAAAATAGTGACTTCTCCGAAACTTCTACAAGTTTTCCAGATTCAAATGGTAAAACGAAAACTAGATACTTGACTAAAAATATTTTTATCCGTAAATTGATGAATGGTGAGTCTTTAGAAAGAAAATGGCTCCTTTATTCATCAGCAAAGAAATCTGTATACTGTTATTGCTGCCGTCTATTTAATATCACCACTGGTACTAGACATAATTTAAGTTCTCCTAGTGGATATAAAGATTGGAAGCACATAAGTAACTTATTGATAGAGCATGAGAACAGTTTACAGCACAGGCAATTTATGATGAATTATGTTGCAAGAATGAAAACTACTGGACGAATTTATACTGAGTTGCTGCCCCAATATAATACAGAAATTAACTATTGGAAGAATGTGCTTAGGAGAATTGTTGCAGTAGTGAAATTTTTGGCTTCAAGAGGTATTGCTTTTCGTGGTGATAATGAGACATTAGGATCGCAAAAAATTGGAATTATTTGGGATGCTTAGAACTGATTAGTGAATTTTATCCTTTTCTTGCTGATCACATACAAAACTGCGGAAATCGTGAAAAAGGAAGTACATCATATTTATCGGCAAATATTTGTAATGAATTTATTAATGTAATGGGACAGCAAGTTTTGAAAACCATTGTCAAAGAACTTAAATCAGCAAAGTACTACTCTATTAGCGTAGATTCTACGCCAGATCTGTCCCACGTTGACCAACTGACTTTCATAGTTAGATACGTAAAAGACGGACAGTCTATTGAGAGATTTTTGCAATTTTTGCCTATGGATGAACATAATGCGCAATATATAGCAGATACCATTTTAAACTTTTTGGAAAGCCTTGATATTCCTATAAAAGATTGTCGCGGGCAGAGCTACGACAATGCATCAAATATGTCTGGAAAGTACTCTGATGTTCAGTCAAGAATAAAAGAAGTTTGCGAATTTGCGATTTACGTTCCATGTGCGGCACATTCGCTAAATTTAGTGGGTGTTCAGGCTGTTGAGTGTGTTACTGAAGCAGTAACATTCTTTCAATTTGTACAAAAAAATTTTCTCGGCTTCAACAAAACGATGGAAAATTTTGACAGAGCATTTAGGTGCGAATAGAGTCCTGAAGTCTCTTTCGGAAACTAGATGGTCTGCACGCGCCAATGCTCTTAAAGATTTGCAAAATGGTAATTTAAATATTTCTAAAGCATTGTCTTTAATCGCAAGTGACATCAATCAAACCAGGAGACACTAGAAAGGAAGCCCAAAACCTAGCAAAAAATGGGAAAATTTGAGACTGCTCTTCTAACGGAAATATGGAATGATCTTTTGGGAGTTATGAATAAAACAAGCCTAAGTTTACAGAATAGCACTATGACCATGGACGTTGTAACGATACTTTACGAATCTCTGATCAGTTATGTCAATACCGCACGCAATAATTTTGATCAGTACGAAATGGCTGCTAAAGAAAAAACTCCATATGCTGACTACAAAGATACATTTGAAAGAAAAAGATTTCGCAGCACACGCATCACTTTCTTTGAAGGATCATCAGAGACTGCACAGTTGAGAAGCAAGGAAAAGTTTCGTGTAGATACTTTCATTCCCATAATTGACACATTAAATACACATTTAAAAAAACGTTCGGCAGCATACCAAGAAATTGATAGTCGATTTAGTTTTCTTTGTCAGTTAACAACAATCAAAACTGATGAGTTGACCAAAAAATGCAAAGAATTTGCAGAATTTTATCATGAAGACTTTAATGCAGATGAGCTCAAAACAGAATGTTTTCATTTAAGCCAATATTTAAAAAACATAGCAAAGCAATCAGCGGATTTGAATATCTCAACCTTGCATAACCTAATAAAATCAGATAAATTGGACTTTTCCAAAAGTAGAAGTTGCTACAAGAATATTCCTTTGCCTAATGGTTACCAATTGTAGTAGAGAATGGTCATTTTCGCAGCTTAAAAGAATAAAAAATGAATTTCGAACAACAATGTTACAAGAACGACTGATTAATTTGTCAATTATGTGCATAGAAAGTAATATCCTTCAAAAAATTGACTTTAAGGATATAATATCGTAACCAAAAAAACAGCAACATTCTAATATCATTAATGACATATTAAATCATACTGTATTTGATTACCTATAATAAATGGTGATACTTAGTAAAAAAATGTTATTATAATTCGCTTTTTTTACCCCAAATTCTTGTGTGCCCAAGGGCCCCAGCCTAGTTTAAGACGGTCCTGATTATATGCACTCCTTGATGTCTCCTAGTCTGTTATTCTTCCACTAATTATGAAACTTCCAAAACTAAAGGCACAGCTGATGTCCACCCTGCTACACTTCCGACGATTTCCGCCAGGGGGGGGAACTGTTTTCCACTAGCCCCATCTTCAGAACGACGAGAGAACTATTGCAGCAGCAGCGCTCCAAGTCATTTTGTTTTGTTTTTATACTTGGATTTTGACAGTTGCGAACTTATTTTTAATTTAATATATATGAGTACATTAGATGCACAACTCTGTATTTGCAGGATAAGTGATTTTAAGAAAAACATGAAAAACCGCTCATAAGATCTTTTTTTTTTAAATCAAAAATTGTATAGACGTGCTTTTGCATAATTTTTATTCAAAAAAGTAAAAAAAAATCCTTTAAATTAGGTATTTTAGTAAATAATTGTAATTAAAATATTTAAAAACATAGTTTTGCATCTTCCTCGTTCAAAGACCAAGTTTTGCAAGTGAACAGTGCAAATACCAAAAAATAACAATTAATCAGGTGATTGTTATGTCGTCACGTAATGTGTATACTAGCGACGTGATTGGTCAACAGCAAATACCGAGTTTTGCATCCGACAGGAAGAAACAAATACCCAGTTTTGCATCTGCGTTAAGTTTTTAAATGTATTTTATTCTACAAATACTAACTTATACATCTGGTTTACTTAGGTATGCTGTAGGCAGTGCAGTAATGTACATAAATACACATAACTTCAAAACCTCCTTAACCTTTATAATCCGTGAACTACATAACATGAGCAAAAAGTGTAGTCTCCAGTTGCGGGAAATTAACAAATCGGTAAGTTAAGTAAAAATTATTAATTATTGATTATTGCATGTCTTGCCTAAAAATGAAGGGCAAGCTTTTATATGGCCACAACGAAGTGGTAATAGGGAAATGTAGAAGAAAAAAATAAAAAACTTCAACAATATGTCCGCGGCATTTCAGCAACCAATGCTTTTAAGAATACGGTTTAAAAGGGCTGAAAAAAGTGCTTTACCTTCTTTGTTTTTGCCAGGTGTGTAAATGCTTTATTGTGGTCATTAATGTAATGTAATTTTTATTTTGTAATTTAGATTACACCTCAACTGGTGAGGAAGGAGACAATTTCTTTTTCGTGAAACTGGAATCACCTACAAGAGCCCATATTTCAGGAATATTTAGAGGTACCATTATTATACATAGATCATATTTAATTCAATTATGTTTTTAGCATCGGAAATGCCAGCATTGCCGACTGGTGAGTTTTCCTAAATAAAGTACCTAATTATTGTTCATGAATATTATATTAAAATTTAAAACACGTCCCTATATTTTTGTTGTTTTAGTTCCTTATAATTTCTAACTCCGTTCTTTTTAATCATCTTCAGCAATGTACTTAATTAGGTTTGAAGTACATTGCTGAAGTATCATTTATATTTATTTTTCCGTTGTTTATATACTTACCTAATACGAACATTGTCATTAATATATGTTCTTTCGCTGAGCTACTGAGATTTTATACAGATTTGGCATTTTTAAACTAACTTATTTGGAAATGCCGGACATCTCAAATGAAGATTTATTTAATCTAATTTTAGAAGGCAACAATGCACTAAAGAAGGAATTTTTAGACTTAAAAGCTGAAATTCAAAATGAGGTTTTGATTTTAAAAGAAAAAAACACTGAATTGCAAAACGAAAACAAAGCTTTGAGTATTGAAAGAAAACAAAAAAAATATAATTTATTAGCCGAAGGAAGAAACTCAGAAAAATATTGTTGAAATGATAAATAATACTCTACAAATACAATGTGATATAAAAGATTTTCGCGATATAAATAGAATTGGGAAAGCATCTAATAATCAACCTCGACCAGTAGCTATAGAAGTGGTCAATAATAATCTTAAATATAATATTTTAAAAAAATCGGCAGAAAACAAAGAATTAAAAGCCAATAAAATTTATTTTGCTCCTGAGTATACACAGGAAGATTACGAAGAAAGAAAAAAGCTTTACAAATATTTAAAATCTGCAAGGGAGAACAAACTTAATGCAAAAATAAAAAGAAATAGGCTGGTTCTGGATTCTGGAGAATATTCTGCTAACGAGCTTGAAAACAACCCTGATCTCTTAAATCTTGAAAAATCATCAGATTTGCAGTCTAATGATCAGGAGGACGGTGATAGGAAACGTAAATCAGAAGATTCGCCATCAAAAGAAACTGGAGCGATTCCAAAAAAAACCAGAAGCAAGAAAAAATAATTTGAGTTGTTTTGATTTCTAAAATTACTTAAACAGTTAGGTATATGAACAGTTATATGTGTAGTTCCTTACAGTTCACTGGTTGATTTGTTATTGTATTCTAGTTTTTAAAATGAAAAATTTTTCTTTTGCTTATTTTAACGTAAGATCATTAGTAAAAAGTTTTGCAGATATTAAAAATTTTGTATTGGAGCAGAAATATGACTTTATAGAAATCTGTGAAAATTGGCTTTCACCAGATATTTTAGATGATTTAGTTAATATTTAGGGATATAGTTTTGTAAGATGTGATAGGTGTAGTAGAGGAGGTGGAGTTGGACTTTATATCAAGTCAGGATATAGGTTTTAAATAGACCATTTAATGTTGCTGTTGAGCAAGTTTGGGTTAAAGTAATAATTTTATCCAAAACATATATTGTTGGAACATTGTATAGACCACCCTCCCAAAATATTATTAATTTTATTAACTGTCTTGAGGATGCATTTTCTGATTATCTTCCAGATACTAATGAGTTAATATGCGGAGGAGATATTAATATTGACTTATTGGACACTAACAATAAAAATACAATTAAATTTAACCAGTGCATTGATTCCTTTAATCTTAAACAAATAGTCAAATCACCTACTAAAATAACAAAATCAACTGCAACTACATTAGATGTTATAATGGTTCCTGAGAGTTTAAATACGTTTACTTGGGGTACTAAAGAATTAGGTAATTTATTGGACCACCAGTTAGTATATTGTATAGTAAACCTTTCTAGTTTAAATACAAACTCAAATCAATTTCAAACTAGAAATCTAAAAAATATTGATAGGGATCTTCTACATGGCTTTTTAAATGTTGCTCCGTTTTACAACATAGTCAATTGAGAACATTGATAACAAAGTAAATTTTTTTAATGAAATCCTAATTATCATATTTGATATTTTAGCACCAATAAAAGTTATTAAAATTACCAAGAAAAAACCACCCTGGTTAACATATGCAATTAAAGTAATGATTAAACTTAAAGATAAAGCCTTCAGCAAATTTAAACATACAAGAAATCAGGTTCATTGGCAGTACTATAAAGATCTAAAAAATTAACTTACATCCTCTATAAAACGTGAAAAAAGCATATCTAGAATACTGTATAAGCAAGTTTAATAATAATATTAATAGTAAGGAGCTATGGAAAAAACTAAAAGACCTTGATATATGTCAAAAACCACCAGTTCGAAATATTCCAGACCACTTGGACATACCTGATAAAATTAATGATTATTTTCTTAAATTTTCCAAAAATACAACAACTAACCAGCAATTAGCAAATTTTTACAATAACACTTTTAAATGTAATTTTATTGAGCTATTTTCCTTCTCCTTAGTATCGGAGGATGATGTCAATAAATACCTGTTGGGTATTAAGTCCAAGTGTACAGGTCATGACGATTTAAGTATTGATATGTTGATATTATGTTGCCCTTATATATTGCCATACATAACACATATCATTAATACATGTTTTCTCTATTCCACATTTCCAGAGGCCTGAAAGATCTCACGTGTAATTCCGCTACCAAAAAAAGATATTATTACCACATATAATGACTTACGGCCTATTTCTATATTACCTGTTCTTTCTAAACTCCTGGAAAAAATTATGAACTCACAAATTTTAAAGCATGTTAATCATTACGATATTTTGCCACCAAGACAGTCTGGATTTAGAAAAGGATTTAGTTGTGCTACTACTTTATTGGACGTTAATGATGATATACTAAAAGACTTGGATCAGGGTAAAACAGTGGCTTTGGTGCTTCTAGATTAATCCAAAGCGTTTGATACAATTAATCATAGTACCTTACTGGCTATCCTACATTTTTTGGGATTTTCGTCAAATTCAATAAACATGCTAAAAAGCTATTTACATAATAGATTACAATTTGTACAGACAGGTAGGGGTAAATCTGGAAGGGCCAATATTTGTTGTGGCGTGCCTCAGGGCTCTATACTGGGGCCATTACTCTTTTGTTTGTATACGTGTAATTTAGGCAGTATTTTAAGATTCTGTACACCATACTTTTATGCTGATGATACCCAGCTTTAATTTTCATTTTATTCGGATAATATCTTGGATGCCAATAAAATAATTAATGATGATCTAACAAGTTTGGTCTTGGAGTCCAAGAAACATCATCTATTAATAAATGCACAAAAATCAACTATTTTAGTATTTGGTAGGTTTAAGGAAAACTTTCAAAATAGTCTTAAGATAATTGTAGATGGGGATGACTTAAAATGTTCAAGGGAGGCTAAAAATTTGGGTATCATAATGGATACAAATTTAAGATACGAAGGACATATATCTAAATGAATTAAAAAAGCTTATAGTAGTCTAAAAATGCTTTACCCCCATCGTC